GAAGATTTGGAGAGTTGATTTTGGTGATTTGGATGGCCATTTGATGTCAGATTTTGGTGAATTTGATATGGGTAGACTCATGAGCGAATGTGTTTTCCAGTTTTGTAATTTTTATCGGATTCCGAGACGTGAACCTGGGGGTCGGGTTTGAGCCAATTTCGGAATTTTTGAGTTAATTTGATTATTTTCGCTTGGACTTTGTTCCTTTAGCGTATATTGATGATAATATACTGATTTAGGTTAGATTTGGAGCATTTGGAGGCCGATTCGAGAGGCAAAGACATCGCTGTCTAGAGTTTGGACTGGTTTGAGTTAAGTAATGATTGTAAATATTGTCTTGAGGGTATGAAACCATGGATTTCACATCGTTTCACTACTTTGAGGTGGCACACAGGCTAGATGACGAGTGTAGGTTCGTGCACCATTGGGGATTGTGACTTGGTCCATCTCGTATGACTATTAAGATGCGTATTTGATTGAAAACTATATGATACTATTGTATTTTGGAAAGTATTTCTATATTTTGGACTGAATGCCATATTTGGGTCTCGTGCCAACTGTTTGGACCCTTAGAGGCTTTTTACTACTATTTTCCTTACTATTTTGGTTTAATATCTACACTCAGTCATGTAATGTTTTACTGATTTCATAACTCGGTGTTGTTTACTCCGTTTTGATTCTATAAACGATATTTTGGGTTGAGCACCCTGTTTTACTGTTAGCCCGAGTGGCTTGAGAGATTTCTGACTGAGTGAGGTCGAGGGCATGTGTTGTGAGGATATTATGGGATCAAGCTGCGCGCCGCAGCATGTTGTATTGATTGTGATATATGAGAGACCGAGGGCCTAATTTATTATGCCACGAGATGGCTTGTTGTAGTGCTTGGGCTGTAGGAGCCCCTTCGGAGTCTGAACACCCCAGTGAGCGCGGGTACCCAGTGTGAGTGATGTGATGCTGCCCGAGGGGCTGTTATTGATTCATGTTGTTGCTCGAATGGCTAATTACGATTGACTGTGAGGTGGACCGAGGGGCGGTTTATGGTACATGTTTTTCTCGAGGGGCTGTTTACGTTTCTATCATTTTACTCACTATTTTCATCACTCGTTTGAAACTATTGAAAGATGTTTTAAAAGGAAAGGCATTACTGAAACTGAGTTTGTTTTACGAGGTCATTGATTTCTGTATTGTTTTGGGAAATGTACTGTATTTGTTGTGGTGTTATGACGTGGGATTATCTATTTTCTTACTGCTCAGCTTTTATTTACTTTTATTGCTTACTGAGTTAGCGTACTCACATTAATCCCTGCACCTTGTGTGTAGATCCAGGAGTTGTGGGTCGCGATATTGAGCATTGATCGTCCATTCAGCAGGATTTTGGAGTCGATAAAGTAGTTGCATGGCGTTCGCAGCCTTGTTCTTCTCCCTCATATCTTCCCTAGATCCATTTAGTATTGTCTTCAAGACTTTGTCAGACTTTATTGTATTGAGACATAGTTGTAGTTGCTCGTAACTTATGACACCCCGATGTCGGACTTGTGTATTTATTCCACACTGGTTATTTAGACTATGTTATGATATTTCTTGTTAATTAATGGCTTAAAAATAACTTTTATATAAAATTGGTTTGATTTAGGAATTGTGTCGACTGACCTAGTTTCACGATAGGTGCCATCAAGACCGGGTCGGTTTTAGGGTCGTGACAAAATCAAAACGGATGATGTCATATGTAATAGATGAGGATGTAATTCATTTTTTCTTAACATAAATGAAACTAAAGAATACATCATAAAAGTCTTCTTTATGGTTCTGAATCCAAAGCTGGTCAGCTGATCCCTTCAATCTTCAAAATAACACTTGCTTTCTTGGATAAAGAGAGCTTCCGTGAAGAATGAAGTAGGTTTCTTATGTACACTCCAATTAACTAGAAGATCTACAATTTTTTTGTGTTCCCTAAATTAGTGAGCAAAAGGGCCATTTCATTCCTACTTTAGCTTAAAGACCTGCTCAAGTATGCATACTATCTGCTAAGGGCCATTTGTGGTTCTGTTTATAGTATTGATCAATATTTAGAATCAGATTCCACTAAAATCTCATTATATCCATTGTCAAAGCACCATCTAAGACCAATCAAAATAGATTTTGCCTTAACAATATTATTCGTGCAACTACTAAAAAAAGAGCAGTAAGTCTTGATCAAGATTCTAGTATGGTCTCTTAAGCAAGTATGGTCTCTTAGGCATCCTCATCTCCTGCTGGTCCTTGATTTCCTTTAGAGCAGCCATCAATGATAAACTTTAGTTGTCCATCATGTGGATTAATCTATTTGACTAGAGTGATTTTAATAAAAGGTTTATAGCATTCCACAATATGGTATAGACTCTTCTAGTCATGGAAGTTAAGAAGTAAGGAGAAATAAATGTTAACAAGAGTGCATATCATAGATTGAATCTGATACAAGAATCTAGGAACTGAAATCTATTCTGCTCGATATCTAATTGCACATCTTGTTTTCCATAGCTCCCAACAGATCATACTAAGGAGACATTGAAATATAAAAGCTTGAACTTTATTCTTTGGTTTTGTAAACCATCAAGAAAGTAGATTCTGTGTGATTCCATTAGTAGGTCTTATACCACTAGGTCCTCCATATAATTGCCAGGTTTTCATATCTCCCTCACTTTCAGAGAAGATATGTTCAATGGCATCTACTTTAGGAGAAGATCAGCAAAAGCATTTGGAGGGACCAATAAAACCAAATTTAGTTGAGATGTCATCAGTGGGTAGCTTGTATCTTAACATTCTCATCATATAGAAAGAAATTTTAAAAGGAAGACTATTATGCCAAAATTTTGGATGTAGAAGTAGTATGGTTTTTGCTTTATTTCAGAATCTGCCATGCGGATTTACATGTAAACGCCATCATTGGTAATGGTCCAAATATGTCTGTCCAATTTTGAGCTTCCCAAAACCTTTAATAATGAGATTTCAGTAGAAATATTTTTGGGTAAGACATATCTCAAGGCATAGTTCCAGGAGTCATCAAATGTGAAGTCTAAAATGGTCTCTTTCCCTTTGGTGTGATCATTTGACAATTTAGCCAAATGGCCATGTTCTGACCAATTATCCCACTAGAATGGGATTTTACCATTCATGATTCTCCATTTAATATGTATTTCAGTGTTATCTTTGATATCCATCATTCTCTTCTAAATTTGAGAATGAACAACTTTTTAAGTGGCAGTTACAAGGTGGATTTTATTATAATATTTAGCTTTCATGAAATCCCTCCACATGGATTCTTTGGTTCTAAAGTTCCACCAAGAGTTAGCTACAAAAGCTTTGTTAATATCCAGAATAGATATAAATTCTGCCCCTCCTTCCTCCTTAGCATAACACATTAAGGACCAGGAGAATCAGTGATATTTTCTTTGTTCTTTTGAATTTCTCTTAAAAAAAATATAACGTTGGTTTTCAATATTCTGATAGGTGGTTTACGAGGGTTAGTGGCTGCAAGGACATGCATGGAAATAGAGTATTGAACAATCTTTATAAGAATTGCTTTACCTCTAGAAGATATGAGCTTTCTGTTCCATCCTTGAATTCTCCAACTCACTTAATCTGTAGGATTAATGAATTTAATTTTCTTTCTACCTAAGTAGATAGGGGCTCCCAGGTAGGTAAAGGAAAAATTTCTGTTGGAAAATCCTATCAATTCTTTAATAGAATTGATTTGATTTTTGCAACATTATGATGAAGTAAAAAAATGTGATTTGTTCATATTGATAAGTTGACCTGAGATGTTAGAGTAATCCACTAAGCATTGTTTCATGATCTAAATTGAAATTGTATCAGTAGAGTTAAAAGAATCAATAAAACTAAGATGAGTAATACATGGACCATTCTTTCTCATCTTGTAAGGAATGAAGTCTTGACAAGCAGTGATATCATTGAGCATTCTAAAGAGAAATTCATAGGAAAGGACAAATAGAAAGGGAAAAATAGGATCCCTTGTCTCAATCCTCTAGAGAAAGGGAAGAAGCCTTTCCTATTACCATGCAGATCAATTGAACACCAAATATAGAGATCAACCTGAATATTAGTCTAATCCATATCTCATTGAAGACCGGTCTCCTTAGCATCTCACAAAGGAAAGGCTAAGAGATCGTGTCATAAGCTTTAGACATATAGAGCTTAATAATCACATTTTCCTCATTGTTATCTCTATTCATGTTATGAGTTAGTTCTTGAGTCAACCTTATATTCTAGTGATGGATCTTCCTTTTATAAAATATGATTTTTTGGGGAGATGATTTTTGGTAGAAGTCTGGCAAATCTATCATTCAAAAGTTTGGATATAATTTTGGAAGTAACATTAGCTAGGCTAATTGGTCTGAAATAAGAGAGAGTTTCTGGGTGATCAATTTTAGGGACGGTAGTTATGTAATTTTTTATCCTCCCCAAAATTTTACATATTTTACCGTAAATATTTAGTTAAGGGTTAGCATCGCTATTCTAAATAGTTTTGACTTTTTTACTTTATTTTATTACAAAAATAAAAATTACAAAAAAATTTTCTTTTATTTAGCTAATCAATATTTTATCTAGTTACGTTTAGTTACCTACCTTTTATAAAATTCAAAAATAGTTCAACTTTATTTTCAGGAATATTAGTAGTTTGGTAGGAATATTATTTTAATTTTTGCGATGATTTTAATCTAATCCCATTTTTATTTTTAGGATTGATATTTGAAAAATACCAAAATAAGTTTGTTTTAATGGTTATTTTATTTTAATAGTTATTTTACTTAAGAATGATTAATTAGTAAATGAGGTAGTATTTTTAATCTTGTTCAAGGAGAAAGAATAAAATTTTGGGCTCAAACAACCTATTTTTAGGTCCAATTTTCGAACTCTTAGCTCATAGATCCAAGTCCAATACCCATAAAACCCTTATCTCATCCTAAAAACCTTGAACATTGGAGAACCTAAGGCAAAAAAAAAGCTCCCAGCCGTTTCCACCTTACTAAAACGAAAAAACACAATGCACATCCATCTCCTCCACTTTTCACGTGATTTTCCTGGAATTTAGCTAAGAACTCTCATATATTCCAGGGGTACATCATTTTTAGAGGGGACGCATTGCTCTTTGGTCTCATTCCTAAGAATTCTAGTTGGTTTTGACATTGCTTCTTGTGGCTTAAAGTTATTCATTATGCCTCGTTTCCCTGAATGTCTAGCCGCCACTTTTTTGATTGGGATTTGATCACCGACACCTTTTTCACTCGTTTTCTTTTTCAGTAAAACACACACCCCAACCCTAGCGCCGTTTCTGGTTTCTTCATCATCATCTCCTCCAAACAGACCTCTCTGAAAGAATTGGACCCTCCCCCTTTAGCTGAAAAAAACCTAGCACAGCTTCCCCTTTCTTCTCATTCCCTCTTCTTCTCCCTCAAAAAACCAGACTCTCATTCAGAAAAGACGGAAGAAGGAGACCTGAAAATATAGACCCATTTTCATGCCTCTCATACTCTACTTATCCCCACTTAGCCAAAGAATCTGAAAAAATTCTCAGAAGAAACATAGAAGTATTGAAGAATTTTATCAACAATGTGACCCAGAGAAAACTTTCCGTTGCATTTTATTTTTGGTGCTAGATTTGGGTTCGATAGAGCTGATAGGTATGTTTTCTGCTTTCATATTTTCAAAATCTCTGTATCCCAAATGAAATGTTTGTCTTTCCTAAATGCTGTTGCAACTTGGATCCTGAGCAATGTTTAAGAAGTTACGAATTGAAAACTGACTTTTCTACATTAATTTCTAATCTACTATCTTGCCTTGTGATATATCTCTACTGAGAAAGAAAAAAAAAATCACTGAGCTTACAGCGATTCTAAAACGACTAAGCATATTCCACCAGCAGCGAAACAAAATCTAGAAATGAATGTTCCATTCCTTTTGCTCATATATTTGTGGACAACCAAACAACAAATCAAATGAAAAAATACGTTATATTAGTACAAAGCTAAACTTGAGAAAATAGAATAGTACAGATCAAACAGTAGTGATAAAAGTACTAAGAAATTATCAAAAAGGAAACTCCAAGATTCATCTGTTATGATGTATGGCAGTATGGCACAAAAAAAAACCAGTACTAGTATTTGGCTTGTAACATGTGTCATTTACCTTTATCTGTAGCTAGTTCCTTTCCCATGTCTTTACTCTACTGTTTCGTCATATGGTTTATACCTGTTTGGCCAAGCTACAAAAATCAGCTTATTTTGAGAAGTGTTTTTTTAAAAGTGCTTTTTTCAAAAGTATTTTTGGTGATAAACAGTTTGTGTTTGGCTAATTAGTTTGAAAAACACTTCTGAGCAGCAATTAGTATTTGACCAAGCTTTAAAAAACTACTTATAAGTATATTTTTCTCAAAAGTGCTTCTCAAAAAAGTGCTTTTGGAGAGAAATTACTTTTTTCTGTTTCTCTAAAACTGCTTTTGCTTTCCTCAAAAGTACTTTTTTCCTTCCAAAAAGCTTGGTCAAATACCTCAATTTTTGGCCAAAAATACTTTTTACCAAAAAAAACACTTTTGGCCAAAACGAAGCTTGACCAAATAGGTTATTAGTTAAATTGATGCAACTTATTGTTTTTTATTGAGCAAAATTCAAATTAGGCCACACCTAGATTTGAAATTGTTGTTTTGTTGCTTATGTAATATTAACCTACCTGTACATGTCAAAAGCTATTGTGTTGGTTGTTTCCTTTTTAACACCAAGGAAAAATAAATTTACTTTATTAAAGTCGTGGATTTGCATTATTTGTTCACTTATACCTAGTCTAACGTGACTTTGGGTAATTGGTGCTAGGTAGCCATATAATGAAGGTTTGCAATCATTACATGCGTAGTTTGCTTTAGGCGCATAATTAAATTATTACAGCTATGAGTATGGTTCCCGTGGTATAGTCGTGATACATAATTCCCAATTCGGGTGTGTATTTTATGTGATCCGATCATAACAACTTCGAACAATAATAAAAAAAAACATATCGCGAATCGTGAGTGCATTTCATGTAGCGTGGTTTGCGGTGTGTTCCAAAATGGCAAGTGTACGACAATCGTAATTTGTTCAAGAAATAATTCCATAAATCCTACAAAGCGGTTAAAATAATTAAAAGCGGTAATAAAGTTAAAAATGCACAATAGGTTTAAAACATATAATAAATCAGATAATTAGGCCAATTATTAATAGTTAAGCGATTGTGCTCGAACTACGAAACCCGGAAATGCCTAACACCTTCTCTCGGGTTAACAGAATTCCTTACCTAGTTTTTTTGGTTTCGCAGATTTTTAAATAAAGTCAGATTTTCCTCGATTTGGGATTTAAAATAAACCGGTGACTTGGAATACCAAATAAATTATTTTAAATGGCGACTCTGAAAAATAAATAAAATAATCACATATCGAATAATGTCACTTTAATTGGAAAAACTCCCTTTTATACCCCGCGGGTGTAAAAAGAAAGTGTGACAGCTCTGAGAATCAAGCAAGTGCGAGTGACGTATTTAGGTAGTTCATGAATTGCAAAAAACAAATAGCAAGCTAGATTAGTAAGATCCAAGGAAATAATATCCCATGCCTCTTTAAAGAAGGTTGTTGTATATCCATCAGGTCCAGGAGCTGAATCTGGATTCATGTTAAAGACTATGTCTTTAATCTCCTTCTCTATAAGCCTTGTAGTGAGTAGTTCATTGTCTTTATCTGTAATCAACTTGTTAATGCAAGCTAGATTACTGAGATCATTATAGTAATGTGGTTGAGTGAATAAGTCTTTAAAGAAACTGGTTGCTTCCTTAGCTATCTACTCCCCATCAGAATCCATTGATTTTCTCCAATTCTGATCCTGTGAGTGGTCAATTTTTTTTTCTAGCAATAGATTGTAACGACCCGATCAGTCCTTTTATGAACTTGAGCCCGTTCTCCTATTTGATACTTCCCGTATATTTATTTGATCTTTGTAACTTGCAGGGATGGTTGGTTTGGCTTAGGGAAGGTTAGAGAGTGAATTGCAATACTTAGTTTCATTTTTGGAGGCTTAAGTTGTAAGAGTTAATCAAAGTTTGACTTTTATATAAATGATCTCGGATCTATATTTGGATAGTTCCAATAGGTTTGTAGGGTAATTTTGGACTTAGGAATATGTTCATATTTGTATTTAGAGGTTCCTATGATATTTGGGCTCTATTTGTCGAAAGTTAGCAACTTGTAGGTATGGAGAGTTCCTAAGTTTGACTGGGAGTTGACTTTGATGGTATCATATTTGGATTGTTGTTCCGGAACTTGAAATAGGTTTGTTATTTCATTTGAAACTTGTGTGCAAAGTTTGGATGAAGTTGAATCAGACGTTTAGTTAGAAGTTTGAATGTTTGAAACATATGAGAAGGATTTTGATTAACTATTATTAATTTTGATGTTATTCATTGTGTTTCAAGCCCTTGGATAAGTTTGTATTAGGTATTGAAACTTGTTGGCATGATTGGACAGGGTCCTGGAGGACTCGGATGTGATTTAGGGTGGTTTTCATTCGTGATCGTAGAGCTTGTCTTGTGATCGTGGAATAGAGGAGTTGGTAAGCGAAGATTTACTCTTCGCATTTGCGTGACTAGATTCACTTTCATGGAGGGGTGAGTATTGGTGCTTCGCATTCGTGTGTAGGGGGCCACGTTTACAAAGGTTGGGCATCAGGCAAATTGGTTGCATTCGCGTTCGCAGGCCATGGGTCGTGTTCTTGTAGGCTTGGCTTGTGGGTTCATTGCTTTCACGTGAGGTACTTTGCACTTTCTAAGTGGAATTTCAGCCGGGAAGATTTTTGATCTTTGCGATTGCGAAGGGTATGTCGCGATCGTGATACATATCACTAGGCAGAATAATTAAGTTGTGATTTTGGGATTTTTACCCACTTTTTATTTTATTTTGGTCCCTAGACATCAAGAGTGGAAGATTTTGAAGAGAAATTTTACCACTCAATTGGAGAAAAGGAATTTACACATGGATTTGACTTTATATCCTGTTTTTCTATGGATTTCTACACCTAAAGCCATGGATTTTAAAGTGGAATTTGGGCGGGGGAGGG